TCAAGAAGTGGTCTGTAAATCTTGCATTAGTCTGTCATGTCCGGGAGGAACTGGGGAAAGGAACAGATCTGTGAGAATATTGGAGGATTATCACAGGTAGAGTTTTGCTACCTGGATTTGGAGATCTCTCCCTACAGAAGGGGTAGATCTGAAGACTAAAAGAAGACACCAGAAAGGAAAATCCCAGCCATTTTAAATATACACACCAAGGCAAATAAGCCTAGGATCAAGTAACACATGAAGAATTTCTGGGATATCAAGCTGCTTAGACTAAAATCCTGGAAGTTTGGGTGAAGTGTATAGATATATACAGGTGTGTATATAGTGAAAATACTGCAGAGGACACCCTCCACAAGGCTGAGGGGCACTGTGCTCAGGTAAAGCAACTTCCTGGCCCTGCATAAAACAGGGTGTTAATTTTAATTCCTTTGACCCCACATGGTCTCTAGACCTCACTGCTAACACTAGCAGAAGGTGTCACTTTGACCAAGTGACAAAAACTATTTTGTTCTTAAATTCTGTGCATTTATTGCACCTTCTTTGGAATTCTTAAATGTATCTCTAATCAAATAATCTTGTTTGTAATGAAAAAAGTAATTAAAAAAAGCAATCCAGCTATGTGATTTTTAAAAACTTAGTGAGAACTGGCTTTATGTTCTTTATTAGAGTAATAACCCATCTGTTATGAGTTTACGTCAATTCATAAAATTATAAGTCTGGAAGAGAAAAGGTCTTGACCCTTTCCCCTGGTAAGCATTTATTCATATTTGGAAGTTCTTGTTTATATTGGTGCAGAGTCATTATTTGGTAGCAAAAAAGCAGAGTGGAGTAGTAATACTCCCGGTGTTACTGTGCCATTGTGTCTTTTCCTTTTTCTTGTGCTAAGTAGTATAGACCCATGACGTTCAGTGTCAGCAGAGTTCTTCATGTACACACCTTTTTGTTTGCATGCATCTTTTATCCCTGCTGAGTACAATAGTGAAGACACTGTGATTTTTTTTTTATTTGGTAAATTGATTTTTAATAATGCAAGTATTTTTGTGAGGATCTGTCTTACAAGACCTGTTTGTATACTTATAACCTTCTGACACCACAGTGAGATTTCAAATGAAGATGTATTAATGTACATTAGAAGCGTGTGATTGCTTGTATCATTATGAAATAGATGAAAAATTAGTTCACTGCAGTAGTTTTTATCTGAACCGATCAAAACATCTTCCAATGATTTTTCTAACAATATGTGATTGGAATAACAACTTCACATGTTGTAGAGTTCCATGCTGCAGCTGAGAGGCATGTAAATACAAGCTGCTTATTTGCAAGAAGCTTCCAGATTTGCAATATGATTGCTATGGAAACCACACAATGAAAACCTTATAACCATCTGTGTGGTTTGGTAGATTTTGCTGCATAGCTGAGCTGGTTTTGTTTACTGTTATTATAGTGTTGAATAGAATATGTTACCCCACAAACTGGGATTATCCAAAATATAAACTAGTATTGTGCAATGACAATGTGTCAACGACTAGAAGACAGTAGAATGCCAGTTAATAATGGCATTAAATCAGAGTCTAATGTAAAAATATAGTTATGTGTTAGTAGAGGAAAATGCTAAGTTTATGCATATTTATCATGGAGATACCAAATTCCATTGAAGGAATGTGCAGTTCAAGCCAGACTCTTATTGTTTTATATACAAGTAGTCTGATTTTTGTTTCCCTTTCCCCTTTAAGAAAAATAAATTGGAAGAGAAAAATTAATGGATTCACGTAAAAAAACTCCTCAGCTTGTGTAGAATTCGTTGTTAACTTTTAAAATTGTGTGGTTTGTAGTATCGTTTATGTTTGGGTGATTATTCTTTTTTCTTCAGACTGCAAATTGAATAAGTAAATTATTTTCAACAACTTTGGTGGGTAACTGAAAGAAACCTTAACAGATATAGTTAATTCCTTGTTGCATTTTCATCACAAGAATTTTGTAGGTTATTTGCCATTAGAGTCTCCTGAGTGCCAGCAGAGTATGGAGGATAACCTGTGTCTCAAGGGTTGTTTCCATGTACAGCTCTGGAAGAGTTCATGGCTTGATTAGTGTCAATTAGACTCCTTTTGACATAATGAGAAGGTGGAGAAGCGTATTTTTCTCACTGCAGTGGTAGTGATTGTGTGAATAAGAGATACAGAGGAAACATTGTACCAGTTGATTTTAAAAGCCTGCCTGACTCGTCTTACACAATATCTCAATAATATAGAAGGATTTCTATTGCATTTTTTAATTTTAATTTTTCATCTTTTTACTCTATTTCAAACATAATTCCTGGGGTAATTGAGGTTTCTGTGTTTAAAAGATACGTCCCACACAGTTACTGCTTCAGGACATAACACCAGAAAATACTAGCAAAAAACATAGGTTCTTTTTTCCCCACCCTACGCCAAGCCTATTACATCTGCTCCACTAGGAGTGGGATTACATTAGCAAGTGGTGTGGACCATTTGCAGCAGACTCATAAAGCACAGGTTGTGTCAAGGACCTGATGTTTGCGCTGTGCCTGTTTCAGACGAGGTTTCCTATGGAGCTGGGCTCCATGGACTGAATGCCCACTGGCAGCTGGACTGTGTTGAGTGTGCTTCTGGAGTGCCTCTTCCCCTCTAATTGCACCTTTAAGTTTATCCTCTCTGTGACAGCCCTGTAGTGTAAAGCAAAATGGGATAAGTGGGGATGTTTCAGATCCAAACCAGTATGCTAATATGGACAGCCTCTGTGTGAATTTGGGACCTTTTCAGTATTCCAAGAGCCTTGGCTCAGACATTTTCTCATCTTCAGGTATGGATCTGGTGAACTCTTGTTTCTAGATAATAAGGGAAGAGGATAACTAGATTTTTCCATGAAACCACAATGCAATCTACATGTATTCAACTGTACCTTATGGAAAAAATCTCTTCAAACCTCATCTGTTATTTTACATCAGTTGAAATACCCTCTACTATAGTCAGTCCTCAGTTTAAGCTAGTCTGATGACTCTAACAGAGTTAAATCCTCAGTACCTTCAACACATCAATTGATGGAGCTCCCAACATTCAATAACATGTAATCATAAAATCACAGAATGTTTTCTGTTGTAAAATACTTTAAAAATCGTCTAGTTCCATCCCTGCTGCTGTGTATAATACTCTGTGCGTTGGGTGAAACTGGGTCCTGCTGGGAAAAGGGAGCAATCCTAGAAAACGTGACTGATCATGGGATACTACTAGGTGTGTGTGGTGTAATACTGGGAGGGAAGACACAGAATGACAGTGCCTCCTAGTGCTCCGCGCAGCACATAGGGATGTGTTTTTGCCATTTGTGCTCCAATTGTGAGTGCTTAAAATAAACAAATGAGTGTACTTGGAAATGTGCAACAAGCGTTGTGCCAAGTGGGGGAATACATTTCAATGCAGAGAATAGTTTTAGAGTGTTTTGCAGCTTCAGATTTTCCCTGTTCTATTGTTTAGTTGGGTTTTTTCTCTTGGCTTAAATAATAGTTTATATTCATCGTGACTAGATTTTTAGCTAGTCAAGAGTAAGAGAGCAAAAGCTCTTGCTAGCTTAGCAGGGCAGAATTTCAAAGCTCTTTGTAGAGTGTATCTCATGACGTACTTGTCATATTTGTAGCACTGCGTATATAGGTTAGCAGCAATTACGCACACTCATTTCAACAGGTCTATTCTTGCACTTTAAACATCTGCTTAATGTTTGCAGGAACAGTCTTGTGGATGGATTAAATCTTTACAAGGCTAAAAATCCTTTGACCTGTTGATATAAAATTCACTCTATGTCACAGTAGATAAGCAATTACACAAAAGTTTCACAATAAGGAACATTTTAAAAACTGTGAGTTCTGTATCTATTGTCTGTCATTAAGAAAATATTAAAATTAATTGCTGAAATTTGTGCCTTAAAAAGAAGCATGAGTGTCTGTACCAAATGGTGGGTAGCAAAGCCAAATAGTTTAAATATATTAAAAGTCCAATTCTTGTTTGAGAAGTGGGTTTATCAATATACTGCTTCCTCATTCCGTACAGCAGCTTTGTCAATTTTGATATACTGTAAAGGCCAAGATAAATCTGTTTATGCTTCCTTATGAGCCTACAGAAAGAATACAGCTAAAAAACCCTAATAGTTTGTTTCCTTTTTGGAAACAGAATTGTTGTCTGTGGAATATGAGGAGCAGATCTTATGTCCCTGTACGGAGTGGCGTGTGAATTTACTTAAATGAGGGCATGGACTTGAGAGAGTTCCCTGTCTGCTGGACAAGGAGCATGGAGCACATCTTTTGAAATTGCCTGCAGGGATTTCAGAGTGTTCCGAGCTTGTTAGCCAGAAAACATGCTTCAGAGACGATTGCTGCCAGGCTTTCTTTTTTCTAGTCTCCTAAACTTGCACTGAGTTATTTGAAACAGTCTGGCTTGCTTGAAACCACAGTCAGGCACAGCAGGCAGGAGCACTGAACACATGGCATCTGTAGGGCCGTGTTTCCATCACGCAGGTGTCCAGCTATGGTGTCCATATGACAGCGTGGAAGGTAAGATGTCCTCCGCCTTCTCTGCATACTTCTATTAAGAATTTTTGAATTCTTGCATGGGCTAGGGATACTTTTTCAATCTTTGATTTCCTTTTCTTTATCCTAGCAAGAAATGTACATAGCAGAATAGGACCCACATTCTAATTGTCTCAGAATGACTGAAAAACAACAGAACTGCAGCTCTGTATTACCACATTCAGAGCAGAATAAAAAGGGAAACAGATGTTCACAACTGAGATTCTGAAAGAACGCGCTTGGACTGTTTGGATGGGTGGGGGAAACCACAGGAATAACAATGTTCCAACTTCTGTACAAATGCAAAATAGTAAACAGGGCTTACAATCTGGAAATGTAGAGTGTGGCTTTTAGGCTGATGTGGGCTGTAATTCCTGTCAGCTGAGGTGTCCCTTCAGAGTTTCATTTGCAGTTATGTCTTTTCCAGGAGAACATGTTCCTTCAGAAGCTGAAGTGCCAAGTGAACAGAACAAGGAGGAAGTTACCACTGATTCAGGTAGGTAAAATCTTTTTATCTTGTGTATGCACTCTCTTTTTTAACTTTATTTTCTTGCCTCTTTCCTTTGCTTTTTTAAAATAGCATTTTTATAGCTCTGTAAAGCTCTCTTTTTCACCTGGGTATCCAATGGCAGCAAAACTGCTTAGCACCACTTAGGATGCATGAAAACCACTTGAGAAGGATTTATAAAGTAAGCCAATTTATACAAGGTATTCCTTCCTGAATTACTTTGTAATGACTCAATTAGCTTTCATTTCTGCACAAAGGAGATTTAGTTGCATAAATTAGCTTATCATCATTGAGGAAGTGTCACTGCTAAAGGACAGTTTATAGATACAACATGCAGTTGCTGTCAAACCTATAAGAATGTAATATAGACATCTGTGTATACTTTGTGCTTGAGCAGAACAGACTTCTGCCATTCAGAGACTAACAGGGGACAACAAGTTGCCCAAGGGACTGGCAATGTAGACGTCTCTGAAAAGGTCAACTTGACACAGGCTCTGACAATCGACCCAAAGCTCTGTCTTCTTTGATAAAAATCAGATAAACTTAAGACCACTAATTGATCTGCAGCCTGTTTAAATGTTGGCCATGCATATCTTCATTGCATATGATTACCACAGAAAGCAAATGAATTGGGTAAGAAATGCCAGAGTCTGGTGACAGCAGCAAAAAAATTGGAAAAGGACACAAATGCCCAGAAAGACTGTGAAGGATGTTCTCTCAGCTTTAGCTTGGCAAACTGCCCTTGTACTAATTATCTTTGGGACTGGAAAAATAACTGCAAACGCCACGTAAAGTCATATGGCCAGACAACTTTTCTTGACAGAAAGGTATTTCCAGTTATGCTTAAAAACAAGATATATATGTGCTTCAAGGGCATGGACCTTTAGATAAACTATTGGTGATTTGACACAGCAAGTAGAGAAGACTTGCTTCTTATCAGACCTTACACCTTTTTGAGATCTGCTGCATTGTAACTGTGACCTGCACCAACATGCAATCTGGCTCTCCTTCCCCCATCGTACATAACACACATAATTCTTTCAGGGCTGTCAAGGAAAGGGTGGGCAAGAAGAGTTCCTTTAGGAAGTAGCTCTGCAGTGCTCTTCCTGTTGCAACATGTGGAAAGGAAACGGAGGCCTGATTTCCTGACCCATACAGGAAAGCAGGAACAGGTTGCTGTGGGGAGTTTTGGGTTGCTTTTCTTGGAAAGGAAACAAGAGCCAAGTCATCAGATGCTGTTAGCATTGTGCTCTGCTAAAAACATGTGTAAAACAACATGACTCATTATAGCCATAATATTTAGTACTCATTTAGACATTACCGTAATTATAAGAGTGTGTTGTCATAATGGAGTGTGAGGTCAATCCAATTATAAAGTTGCCAACAGCGAGTTTTTTTCAACTAATGTATCTTCCTGAGGTTTTAAATGGTCTTGCTTTTAAGTAGCACCTTCATTTCTGAAAAGTTTCAACTGCTGTGAGAACAGCCTTAATAGTGTTACTAGTATTTGTGTAATGTCCTTGAAAATACTGTAACAGTTCTCCACATATATCAGATTCGTTTCAAGGAATAATTTTCTGATCTGATCTTACTTAGTTAACTATTTAACACTGGAAATTTGTCTAACTTCTAGGGCTGCTTCTGATAGGCATCACATCATAAATATCTAAGCTGACTCAAGAATATTTCATGATTTTCCACACAAATTGTGCATACATTTTTAAATTTAATTTATTACCTAGCTTTACTAAACCTGAATTTCACAGAAAATATTCTGCAAATTGTATGTGAGCTCAGCCTAATTACAAAAACCTTTCTTTTTTTCCTACTCTTTTCTTACCCTAACTTATCTCTACTTCAATTAATGTGGAGACTTTAGTTCTTTTTACTCCTTCAGTCTTGATGCTGACTGTTGCTGCTGGATAGCTTTATGTTAATTGCTAGTGATCTAATTACTTAAAAATACCAAAGCATTGAAGAGTTTCAGTAATACATAATGGCTTGCTTTTTTGTTTTTTTTCTGCTACCACTATCTACTCATTATCATTTGTGCAATCATTGTTTCAGTAAGTGTCATGTTCTGTGCTGTTTCAGTGTAAATACCTTGATTTTAGAGTAACTAAGGAACAATAGGACAAGGGAAGTGACAAAAATTATACTGAACAGATTGGGCTAGGTTACAGCTTGAGTTCAAATAAATACACTGCAATTATTTGGCCCTTATTTCATAATTTTTCTGTCATATGGGAAGAAGGGCAAGTAAGTAACAGACTTTTTTTGCAGTTTAGGACATCATCTGAGTGAACAAGTAACAGTTCTTTAAAATGATATGCCTCATCTGGGCATTGAGACTCAACATTGAGAGTCTAATAACAGAGTCATTCTGGTAGTGTTAATTTTAAACTTCGCTGTCCGTCTTTAAGCATTCAGTAGGGTAATCACAAAGGGGATACGATAATTTTCCAGCAGTCCATTTCTTTCAAATATTAAGTAGCCCAGACTAATAATCTTCAAATCTGACGCTATAAACTTTTGAAGAATCTGATCAAGAGGCAAGGAATATGAATAAGATTGGCTTGCTGTTTCATGTACTGGGCAGTGGACCACAGTGGTGAAAGGAAGCTTGTTCTTTCATTCCACAAGCAGTGCGTAAACAGGTAATACAGTCACAGTCACTGCTGTAGCAGGATTTGCAATCAATGTTAAAATAGAAGATCAGTGAAAGTCAGACACAGTCACATTTATGTAATGTTTTAATTAGTGCATTTCCATACTTGGGCTCTAATTCCTGTTTTTTATTTGATCCGTTTAGTTTTGTGCCAGGTTTATGCTCAGAAATGACAAGTGCCAAAACTGGCAACAGGGAAAGGACAGGAATGGAACAGCCTGCAGTGAGATTAACTTAGACTGCAATGGGGCAGCACATTTAAATCCCTCTGAAATATGTACTCTTTATCTGTTTTTCCATTTTTTAATGTCTTATGCGGCTGTTACAATATTCTTATATTTTTTATCCCTTTGAGTAATCCATGAACATTCTTAAATTTTAATCCATCTACAATATTTGAAGTGCATGCTTGAGTGATATACTTGTCATTTTCTTATAATTTTTTTTAACCTGAACTGTTCACCTTTCTTCAAGCACATATTGTCAATTGCCTGTATATTTCAGTGAAATAAGCAGTCTGAGCATACTGTCAGGAAGGCTGGCAGCTGTTGCTGTTTGATCTGTTAAATAAACTTTGAAATGTTTGCATCAATATTTTGGACAAAAATATCTGTTGTTCCTGTTACCGTTACTGGAAAAACAGAGATGGCAGAAGAAAACCATGAGGAATTCTTTGTGCTACAGTTTTGGAAACTGTTGAATAGTTGTTCATCCAAATAGCTGTCCTGGAGTGAAAGAAGTAGTTCCTGGAGAAACAACCTATCCAAAATCCTGCTTAGCAATTTCTTCTGATTGGTAATATTAAAAGCAGTGGATAAGTAAAAACAAATTGCTTTCTACCCTCAGCTACACATCTCAAGTTGTTTTTATCATGTCTTGTTCATATTTGGGGCCTAAGCAACTGTGCCTTCAAGATATGACAGGCTTTAGCTTAGCAATTATGTCATCATAGTATTTAAAGTCACAAAACATTTCACAGTGTATAAGAAGAGAGTGTAATTGTGACTGAGCAATGCCAGCAAATCAATATCCTTTGAATTTGAGCTCTAATGGGCATGTAAATTCTTGATGCTAAATCCACCAGCTGTTTTCAGGTATTACATGTGTTTAAGAAGCTCCATATAATTTTATTATTGTATAAATACCAAAGTTATTTACTCAAGTCTCCTAATTTTGTTTTATTCAGTTCTTCAGAGCCAATCAGATGAAATTCCTCTCTAACTGAAAGAGGGGCTGAAGTAAGAAAGAATGTGTTTCTGTCTGTTTTGCAGAACTTTTTGCAGCTTTTTTTTTTTTTCCTCCTACCTTTGTGCTTGGGAAACATTTTGCCCTTGAGATATATGGATCCTGAAGTGAAATTTTTAATTGGCTTTTATGTGTGTGTAGTTGCACTTGAAGAATTTGGAGAAACTTTTTTGCAATTAGTACTCATTGGAAGAACGACATAGTTTTTCACGAACTTACACTGGTGCTTTCTCTTTCTACTTTCTATTTCTGTGCTCCTGGTATACTGGGATATGGTTTTCCAAGAAATGTGTTTTTCTGATTTAAACAACTTCATCTTATGTTGAATTCACCTACAAGGGCACAGAGCCATGGTTAAATCTTTGGCCACATCTTTGCTGTAGCAATAAGCTTATTTTAAAATGCATCTTTTCCAGTGTTGCCGTGTTAGTAGTTGAGTTGTTTTCCCACTCTAAGGCTTAATTAAATTCTCATGATGAATATCTAGGGAGAGATATGTCTCCTGTTGCTGTTGTTCCCCATGTAACTCCCATTAGTGTTAAGAGGAGTTACTTCAGGCATAAAAAGGTAAGAAGAGATCTCAAAGTGATGAAGGTCGGTGTGAAAAGTCATGATTCATTTCAGTACAATTTTGAAGAAGTCCTCATTAATATATTTTAAGCCAAATCAATAAGACAACTGCTGAAATATTTGAAAGGTGGGATATACAGAAATAGCTGGTTTAGTTTTTTTCTCACAAAGGCTTACATAGTCTTTTACGAGAGAGAGCTGGGAATTGTGATCAGTGCTGTACCAAAAGGCTGAAGAGAGATTGTGATTTAATATTTATCACAAATTAATTTGGTGCTAACTAGTGTTGCTGTTTAAAATTGTCTAATGCTAAATTGGTAAATAATGAGCTGACAAATGGGAAAGTCCAAAATTTGGAGGTGCAGCATTTCAGACCGATTCTACCTGCCTCTTGGAATTACTCTGACTATACATTTTACAATAACCACATCTCATATTTCTGTTTAGTTGGGAACTTTTTCATGTGTATATATGGCTGCATTTGGTGTGGTAACAGCAGAATTTGTGCACGGGCGGTCAGAACGCCCCCTAGTGCTGTACATCAAGTGGTAGCTACTAATCACCAGGTTATGGAAAATTAAATGGTGGCTAACTTGCATAGCAGCTTTAAATTCAAGGTTGTTATTTAGCCTTGCAACAGTATTGCCATCCAAACAAGACAGCATAGAACACAGACGGAAATGGATAAATAGAAAACAAGGTTATCTTGCTCGTATAGGGAGTATTAAAATGAAAACTGGAGTATTTGTCAAAACAGGGAAAGCCACAAGTTGAATACTGCTATATTTTCTTTTTAATAGCATGATACTATCTATCACTTGATTCTTGATATTTTAGCAGGATTTTTTTGGTAATAAAGCAAACTAATCATGATTAAATTGTAAATTATAAATAATGGCGTAGAGTGCTAACGACATGCAAATGTAACTGGTATATGTTGGAATAACCAGCAAGCCTGCTGTTCAAGGATCATATAACAAAAACAAGATGACAGCCTTGATCCAGGCAGTTCAATGATATTTATGTTATCAGAATTAAAAGATAGCTTTCCAGTGATGTAAATTATTAGTACATATACATTCTGTCTGGTTAGTGTATACATAATGTAACTGGTCATCTTAGTGGTATTGCTTACATTCTTTTTGCATTAACTCATCACACTCCATTCTCATGGAATTAAAAACAGGAAATAGTTTGCAGTGCAACAGAAGCACCCAGTGTATTTAACCATGTGTAAGCGCTGTGTTTCAATAGATGTACTCTGTATTGTAAGTGTATGACAAAGCATTTATTACTGTGTTATTGCCGTATTACAGAGCAAAGAGTGCTAAATAATCAATCAGTTAATGGTCTGTATGGCAGCTTGAACACAGCACATCCATTGTGCTTATGCTGTGAGAAGGATGAGTTTATGACGGTAGTGTAGTTGCATGTTTAGCCAGAGCTTAATGTCCTAAACTGGAGCTGACACAAATATTTTTAAAATGCAGCTTCAGCAACAGTTTCCCAGTTCTCCAATATTTCAGAAGGAACGATCAAGGATTATTTCAAAGGTTCTTAGAGAAGCTAGTTAGTTTTGTTGGAATACGAGAGGGAGGGGGAGTGTACCACAAAATACTTACTTTGGTTTCCGTTCACAGTTTAATATTAATTATATTCTAGTGATTTTATCAGTTTCAAGTTGAGATACAAATGCGACTTGCTGGAGATAATGTTAGCAGAGGAAAACTAGCTGCTTTAAGTTGCAGCTGGAAAATGCTTTGAAAACCTGTAGCTACATGTCTTTAAGTGATACAACTTGCCAGTGAAGGGCTCCCACATGAAACTTGTTTTCCACTTGCTTTTGTGGTACGAGGGAGCTGTTTCTAAAAAAGGAGTAAGAAATGTGTGCTAATAAATTGCTTTGTACCAACTGGAGATTTTTTAAAGTCCTTCAGTCTTTATCCTTTTGTAATGAGATGCCGTTTTCTTCGCAGACACCAAAAATACCGATTATGCCAATTTCTATCAAGCTTTGTGGGACTGCAAGGGAGATTTCCCTGATGAGTTGACATTTAAACACGGTGACGCTATCTACATTCTCAGCAAGGTACGGGATGCTTGTGGGGCTACATAGTTGTAAAAAGAGAGCCATGGCAGAAGGGCACATTCCCACAGTTCTATGGGGGGAAATTGGCACTCCCTTTCAGATCCTTTGTTTGCAATCAGATACTCACTGCAATTCATTATTTTGTCAAATGAACTATAATCACATTTAAAACATAGCCGTGTAACAGGAATTAACTTAAAAGCATGTTTATTTACTTGTTAATTCTTGGCTACCATTTGTTAACTGATTTAATGGGAGACAATGTGCTTTCTGCTTGCAAAAGTTAACCTTGTAGAATTTTAAATTATCTTGTATGTTATGTTTTTGGTTTCCTGTGTTATGTTCCTGACTCTGCTGATTCTGGCTTTTTGGGCATCTTGCTACAGAAAATGGTTTGGTTTTTTCTTTGAACTATGCCTTCATCCTCGTATGCGTATTGTAATTGTTCTGACAGCTCAGATTACAAATTTGTTTGCTCTGATAGATTTGGGCAATTTTTAATTTACTGCTTTCCTGTTTGCAAAGCAAATGAGAAATATAATTCTTCTCATCTAAAGTGATGATAAGCGCTATAAGCATGAATTCTTATTATACTTCAATTTTGGTTAATTTTCTTCTTTTCCCTTAACCTCCCCCCACCAAAACCACAACCTCTCCTAAAAGACATATCTCATGGTCTGTTGAAGTCTACTTCTGACTACTTCATTAAAGTAGATTTTTATTTTCCACATATATTAAAAAAAGAGAGCTTTTCAAGTTCTCGTTAAAAAAATACATGTAGAATACATATCTAAGTATAATTAATGTCAAAGATACTGTAGGTTATTGAAATATACAAGAGGTGCAAGAAAAATAAAGGCACCTGTTTGTCTTACATTCAAACTCTTCAGTTGCTTTAGATCTTCTGTGATATCCAGAAACATTGCAGTTAAAGGTAATAAATTTAATAGCTTCTGTTTAAATAAATTTCAAGATTTATGCAAAAAAAGTCCTATATAAAAATACAGAAGATCTATTACTAATAGTAATGTGTCCACATGTGTCTTTTGACACTGAATTGCATTACTAAAGGCCGAATAAGGCTCTTGGACTGGGCAGACTTTCAAGGAGTTATACAGTGCTGAAGAATGATACTAACGTAAAATAACCACCTCTTCGCTCTCTCCCCGCCCCGCAAAAGCCCATCAACAAATGGATTTCTCTGTGCGAGTTTAGCCTCTGTGGATTGTGCTCGTCTAGTATGGTATAGGGACTATGAAATCTTAATCTTCAACTTTTAGGTGAAAAAAATCATTTGCTTTTCCCCAAAAGAATAAGAAATTTAATTTAAAAAATGGAGCAGAATAGAAAAACAGTAGCTTAAGCTGTCCTCAGTATATCAACTGTCTTGTGGTCATGCTGTGATTAATCTGTACTTGGTCCTTGGAACAGGCTTGCTGCTGCTCCAGATATATAGAACCTCTCTCTTTGGGAATGATTTCCACTCCAAAATACAGCCCAGAAAATTCAGCCCTGTTTCACTTAAAGATTGTTACAGCTTTTTCAGAAAAATGAGTGTTGGCCACTACTGTCAGCTCTGAATTTAGGGTCCCTGGAGGGGAAAGTGCCAGAGAATTATCCATCTTAACCCTCCACTTGATTCAGTTTCAAGGTCTGATCATTTATGAGCTCTTTGTCTGGTGAGTGAAAATATAACAGTCGGAAAAGTGAACCTAACCATCCTGAAGTGAGTCAAGACTTTCCTTCAAAAAATATTTCCCAATCCACTACATTAATACTTGGATTTTTTTGGCACTCGGCAGGAATCCTTGGCAATTTTTTAATTTTTTCACACCATCTAGTGGTTAAAAATGAGAGATGCAGGTACTGACAGGAAGCGATGTGCATGGATCCAAAATGGTGTCATAAATTCAGCTTCAGCTTGAACCTAGCTATGGCTTTATTGCCTCTCTGTCATATGTCAGCCAGGTATGAACATTAGTCTTGAAAATCACGTTTCGCTGATAAGGAAGTAAGTACGGGTATAGCGGTATTATAGCAGGAAGGGTGAAGCATTAACAAAACATTGAGCGTACTTGTGCAACATGTAATAGTTCTTTGTTTTACGCTGAATTATAAATGGTATAGCTTGCCTTGACGAACCTGATTAGATGGATGTTTGTCTCTCCCAACAAAAGTTATTCCAAAGGAATATATTTTCACTTGCTTTTCTCATACCTCTGCAGAAATTAGGGGAAAAGTGACTATTTTGTTTCCAAGAAGTGAGATCATTAGCACAACAGAAGTAATTAGGAACCAGCTTAGCAAATGTGGGCATTGATAAAATTTAAATACAGCAAGAGGAGCAATATTTTTCATTTAAGTTTCTAGGTGAATGCCTTTTAGCAGAATGAGCAAGGTTTCAGCTTGGCAATGTTTATTTCCTAAAATAGCTAGGCATTAAGCAAAGAAAATCCCCTACAGTTTGCTTTAAACAGAGCACCAAAATTCCATGTTAGTGCAATGAGCATCATTTTCATTCTTACACTCTATTAATACAAATACCAATGCCCAACTAGTGTAACTACTGTAGAAAAGCATTTTTTCCTTGTTTTAAAGGTGCATTCAAAAACTATTTTGGCTATTATTTAAATATTTATGTCCGTTGCAACTTTTGTGTGGAAGCAGCCTTATGGGCTTTTACCTAGAACAAAAAAAACCCACCCACTAAACTTCTTTCTAGGTTTTTCTACCTTCGAGTTCCCCTCCAAATTTGAGTTTTTAACCTGAGTGGAATTAGCAGAACTGTTGAAATAGTACTTGTTAACTTTTATTTGAAAAATAGGTAACTTTTCAGATTAATCCATCAATGTATCTGTACAGATAAACTCATACTATTATAATGTTAATTTACAATGTTCTTGAATATTCAAGTGGCTTTTATAATTTGCACTACAAATCATGTGAACTTTCAGGAAACTATATACCTCTCTCCTGCTATGCAGTACAAAATATTTTATTGCTTTACTGATAGACAGACTCATAAATAAGTTTTCTTATTTAACATTGACTTCTTGGTTAGTATTGCTCTTAACTCCTGCTCATTTAAGGGCTTGCCTTGGCTTTCAAGCCTATACGATAAATGGGGAAACAAACCTTGATATAATCCTTTTTATAAATCTTCCATAGCTCTACTCAAGAAATCAATTTCCAGAAAAAAAGACAACTGTGAGTGAAAGTAGCCTTATTATTATAATAATTTTTGTTTTTTTAAAAAGTTTGGGATGCACAATTTGTGCAAGTGCAGCATATGCAGTATTTTTTTTTCTTTGCATGTTTTGTGTTGGGAAATTCCATAGTTTCATCAGCCAAATGCAAGTTACTGAGATGGCACCTGCTGAGTAGAATTACTGATGTTTCTTAACTTTTAAAGTAATTTAATTCTCATTTTTATTTATGTTTGTGTTAAAAAAACAAATAATACTCCAAAATCAGAAATTGTATCTCAAACTTGAATTCTCCTTCCCTGTTATTATTTCAGCGCATGCCAATTCAACATAATGCTGCTCATTCAGGTATTTATGATTCATGGAAATTGCATCTAGGACTTAACCCTTTCCTCTAGAATTTTTCATGAAGGTAGAGTATTAACTTAGTATCCAGATTACCCTTTAATTCAGTGGTTGCGTATTTCCTGTGTGGCAGATTTTGCTCTTTGAATACAAGAAATGTCTGTTAAAATGCTCACATCTCAACCGGTATATTTTACTTAGTGAAAAGAAAAGGGAATTCTCTGTACCTCAGATTACTGCTTATGAAATAAGTACAACTTAAAAGTGCAGCTGTTTCATAATCAGTGTGAGCATTTTGTACTTTACCCATAAAATCTTCATAAAATGTATTTATTCAGTATTTTTCAAAAAGATGCAGAAGGTGTACTAAAATCCTGAGTGGTTTTTGTTGTCAGGCTATTTTCCGACTGATCATACCAATACCCACATTTAACAGGATTTTCTCTTTCCATGACCATGCTGTGTACATCTACCTTAGCAAACAGGGAGTACCAATAGGAGTGAATTTTCAGAGTGATAGGCTTAGTGCTGAGGTCTCGGCATCCACAACGTGCATTTCTGAAGGGGTTCGATGTCCAAAGAGGTCCAGGATGGCTTTGTGGAATAAAGAACATATTAGTGGTCGGAGGAAGTTCAAGTGCATCTTCCACTGTAGTTTCATCTGAAAGAACTGTCGTGTGTGTGCTCTGAGACTGACATCTGCAAAGTGAGCCACTGGGAGATTCGCTTCAGTGGGATGCTTCTGATCAAAACTGAAACACAGTACTAAGTTCTACATTTCTTTCTTCCTGTTTAGGTGTATTCCTTACAAGAAAAAAAATAATAGCTAGATGGCTAAACATAACAATAAGGACCTTTAAATAGACTAATGCAGTGACTCTGGCTCTGTTGGTTTGCATGCTGATAATTTGTACACATTTACCTACCTGTTTGGAATTTTTTGTGGTGTTGTGTCATCTAATGGAAGATAAAATGGCCTTTCTATCATTCCAGGGTGTTTTCAGGGGCCAGTTTTGGTTCAGAATTCGTCTGCTTACCATGATTTATATTGGAACTCTCTAATTGGTGTCTATTTTGTCTCATGTCATTGCAGGAAATAAAACCTAGTAACTCAACCATACAATAAATCTGAGGCTTATATTCTTAAAGATGACCATTTTATTGCTGTCTTAAAACAACTCTACTACCTGTGAAGAAGTCTCATTCAGTTATCTAAAACATTTGTCATTTTCTGCTTTTTAGTGAAAATGCTGTTCTGTGCCAGAAATGCTCCCTGGTTGATACTGTATCATTCAGCAATTACACCAAAGGAAGTTCTAAATTTTTTTTTAGCTAGTCTGAATCTCCTGGATGAATTAAAGGTGCTTTAAAATATTATCTTGCCAAAATTGCCCCCCAGGATCTTCTTAAAAAAAATTATTTTCTACCTGCTTCCTGCACATCTTTATCTTGACAGGAGAGGCTACTTATTTTAACCCCAAACAAGGCTATTGATATATTTTGCTTTTCAGTTTTAAAGTTGGCAGATCTTAAGCCTGTAAGTTAATATTACTTATAGTGCCACTGGAAGAGGGCAGGAGAAAAATCTCGAATTCACACACTTCAGTTGTGTTTTTTTAAAATACAACTCCATTGTTTTCTGCAAGGCATTGAAATACAATGATGATTTTCATCAACTCTTTTTAAAAAACAAACTAAATTAAAAAACCACCCCACAAACACAAAAAACATACCATATGTATTGAACAATGGGGACTAATTGTAAAAGGACCAGATGTTCTCAACTTTTGCTGAAGTCAGTAGAAGTTAATATGGTGCAAAGCATCTGGAGATCCTCATTTACGCAGAGGATCTGTTCTAAAGGTAGAGACTGTTCTGGAAATCCTCTCCAGTAAAAACATTCTCTCTTCTTGCATATCAAAATTCTTTTTTATATAGTACAACAAAAATCTTTGGTTAAAAAAAAAAAATCTATATAAAAGTGGGTAGTTGATTTCTACCTACTGTGTTTTTCCCAAGTGCAAAAACTTTTATGATCAGCGTCTCATGGGGTCATAGGCACAAACACGTCAGTGCAGTGAAATTGGTGGGATGGGGATGAGGAGAAGCATCTGCTCACAGTGTGTTCAGCTGAGAGCATTTAAGGAGGCTGTGAACGCTGATGGGATTTTTTTTCCTCCCCTCTATGGTGGCATGCTGTATAAAGAGTGTTTTGCCCGCATGTTAAGTGTTAAGTCATAACCTGTTCCTTGCTGCCCTGTGAAATCGCTTTGTTTAATAAATTTTTGCTGGGGTGGAAAAAATTAAAAATGAAAAAATCCACTCTTGCAGACAGTGGAAAGAGGAGTAGAAAGCCTTTGGCCGTTTGTTAAGGTGGTTGGTTGGCATTGTTTGGCACACTCTGTTGCGCTGCCCTGGTGCTCGCCTTGCAGGGGCTGTGATGGCCCCTTGTCCCCGAGTGCTGCCTGGTGTGTCCAACACGCTCCAGCCAGCGGGCAGAGCCTGGCCCCACGCTTGTGCATTCTCCTCATTGCAGGGTGGCTGGATCTGGCCCTGCCCCCCTCTCCTCTCCCTCCGTTTGCCTCGGAGCAATTCATTTTGCAGTTATTGAATTTCTTCGGAGAGTTATTTTCATACAGCGAGCATCACAGCACCTCTGGATCTCGATAGCATTTCTACATAAGGAGAAAGAAGCTTTGTGTTAGTAATTACCTAACATTGTCAGGAGCTGACTGCAGGCCTCTTTCTAGTGATAACAGAATAACCACATAATGTAGCTTTATAGCACATGATTAATAGAAAATAATTACACATCCTACAAAGGGATGCAATATTTCTTATAAATTGACTACAATGGTTTCCTGTAGATTAAAGGACTCTTTATTATTTTATCAGTCCTTCTGAAGTATAGTCGCTTGCCTATGCTAGCAGTGATGTTAAGAGCTGAATGCAGTGAGGGATACCAGATGGTGAACCTAGTGGTACCTGAGATCTGAAGCTGATGCTTGCAAAAGCACTGTGCTTCCCACTTCTTCAACATTCATGTAAAACTCCTAAGTGTATTCACATCCTTCTGCGTATTATTAATCGTTGCAAACAAATATGGGCTTTAGACTTTCACTCTACACATCTAAAGCAGCACTAATAAGCATACGGACCTCACAACAACAGTATATTAATTCAATTATATTGCTATGAAGGAATTTAAAATTGATAACATTGATAGAAACAATACATCAATTTGGATTTTATATGTGATTTCAGGAGCGGACTGGGGCAATACTGCTTATCTGCCCGACTAGTAAGTACTCTTTAGTGGTAGTGAGGACAGAAAGGAGTGGTTAGGAGTTTAAAGAGAAACGTCCATACTTTAATTAGCTTGAAAGTGAGTGCTGTGTAATTATTCTAAAACCTGAGATTAACATTTCATATTCTTGGTAGCCAGGTATCTGCATTATGTTTTTGTTCAGACTTTGATAGCCTGCAGATAGTTTAATTGGGATTCATGTTGCTCTTGAGACCCATGCAAAGAATAGTAATGCAAAGTAAAAGCTTCTGTGTTGTAGTACTGTCTGTATGGTATAATGGTTGCAGTGAATCCTTAAATTAGTTTACTAGTCTGTTACATCAACATTCATTTCATCTTCTCACTTAGCTTCATGCCAGAGCAGTAAGTGGTGTATTAGTATGTAGCAAAAACCAGAAAGTTTTCAAAACAGCAGTATGCTTTTAATTTTAATTTGAGGTGCCTGAATTGTTTCTTTAAAAACAATTGTTTCTAAGTTCATGTAGTGTTGCTAAGTGGAATATTTTCAATGGATAATGTAGTCCAGAGGCTTTTTCTGTGCCATTTGTCATACACAATTTAATGACCGCTTAACTAAGCTACTTCCCTCATTTCATGTATTATTTGCTTTTTTGGCTGATGTCTAGCAAAACTTGCTTAATCTTTCTTGTCAGTGACTTTACAAGTTCTGTGTAAGAGCTTAAAATCTTTTGTTGCTCTCTCTTGGAGAGATTTATTGCTGAGATTCCAGTAGTATATGTGAGTACTGTTCCTTTCAGCAATTTCCCACTTCAGTCTAGAAATCCAGTTTGTATATTTAACCAGCGTATTGTGAGATAAAGCATAGATTTTTAATCAGCCTGATCTGGAACATTATAAACCTTGGTGTCAGGGTATTATTTAGCCTCTAATGATTTGGGGTGTAATGGGAAAAGTTATAAGCGCTTCTTAACTTCTGTGGAGAGCAGTTTGTGTTGAAGATCAGGTTCAGATACCTCTAGACTTTCAGACCAGACCCATCCCCAGCAGTCTGCTCTGCAGTGGAAAGTGGAAGAAGGTGGAATTATATTTGCAGCTTTCTCATTTATGTATTCATATCATAACTTAAGGTTTTCCTGTTGCTTTTTATGTGGATTTTCCTTAAGTCACTCGTACTGCAGTATTTTATGGATAGTGAGATGGAGTATTTTAAATCACCAGTTCACTGTGAATGAAGAAAATGTTTGAGACTGGTGTTTAGCTTTCCACCATAAGAGAATATAAAAGCATGTATATGCCTGTATGCAAGCCTGTTTAAAATAAAACACAAACAACAAACCACAATAAACACAAAACAAAACAAAAAACCCTAGGCCCACAACATGAAAGTGGGCCATCAACAGGGCTTCATTGTAGTGAAGCACAGGGAGAGCTGAGTACACTGAGCATCTCACAGGACCCTAGAGTACTTTGACCAGGCCAAATATGCCAGCAGCGAATCATTACAGCTCAGGCTCTAATGAAATTCCATTAACCCTTAAGCTCCACTTGACTATTCATAACTGAAAAAACTTTATCTACAGTCTAAATAAAATCTTCATCTCAGTAGGACCATTAATTCAAAATCCTACAGGCTTTTGCTCTTCTCGTCAGAAGAGCAGTGTAGCAGGAAGCAGATGTTGCTTATCAGAGATATCTGTGTATTTTGTATTTTCCATGTTTGTTCCAAAGTAATTTCTATCTTACTAATCATTCAATTTTGAATGGGGTCTCTGTTTTAATAATGCTTCATTTGTAACTCAATATATGTGTGTGTGCAATTTCAGCTGTTACAATTTATTGAACCGCTGTTAGGATTGATCTTAAAATATTTACTTCATAGGAAAAAAATTAAATTTGGATCCCACAATACTCTTACTTGGTATTGCTCTTGGAAGATATTATTTCTTTAAACTATTATAATTCATTTTGTTTCATATTTATCTCACTAAGCCTAAACAAATTTCAAACAAAAGTACATTAGTCATCTGTCAGGCATATGAGATCTGCCGTAGAATTTTCTGCAAGCCTAAAGCAATAGCAGACTTTATCCAAAGAAAGAGATTATGTATTAGATATATAGTGTTCCCTTCATGTTTGAGCGAAGTAGTTTTGAAAATAAGTTGATTGTAAGTTTCTTAGAGTGTAGCCTTGTGATACTGAAAGAATCCCAGTTGATTTTTCTATGTCAACATTGTGCTATTAGTTTTTTAGTTGCAAAGATAAGAATTTATATTTGTGATAAATAGAGGATGGAGAGGTCAGCTATTTTTATTAGGTGCCATAGAGAAGCGTGGCCATAATTAAGAAATTTTCCTGAGTAGGTCTGGCCTTTCTAAAATTTAACTTCCGTCTTTGCCTAACTCTGCATGTGAATGCCTCTAACAAAAAGATATAATGTTTTAATTTTCAGTTGAAATGATTATAACTGTATATAGGAGAAAGCATCCATAAGGAGTTGCATAAAAAACTCTATTGCATTTATATCAGACTAAAGGTTAATATTGCATATTGTTTTCAATTAGGAGTACAATGAATTTGGCTGGTGGGTAGGAGAACTGGAGGGAAACATTGGCTTGGTGCCTAAAGCCTACCTAATGGAGATGTATGATATTTGAGAGGCCTGGGTAAGTACATTTTAATCCAATCTTCTGTAATGGCTTATATGTTCCCTTGTTCTCTGTTTCATAAGTATTTCTTTCCTGGAACCTTTGTAGGAGTCCTGTTAACATAAAGATTATGGCAAAATATATTGAAGGTTCAATTAAAACACTTTTTCTGGGTTTCTGTATGAAATATTAAACCACAGTGTACAAAAGATGGTGTATTTTTTAACTACATTATTTTTCCAGATTATTATTTTTTTAAATAAAATCAGTGTGCTCCATAGTTAGCTTTTTTACTTTAATAATATGTGTGTATCTAGCTGTGCAGAAAACTGTGGAAGGAATATATAGTTGGACTGGATTCGATATGCGTGTTTGAGGCTTTTTGGTTAACGATGAACTTTCAACTTCTCTCTTCCTAATCAGGAGAAATCTGTGCTTGAAATCAAGAGTGGTGTGCAGCTGCAGTTTACAGACCTGGCCTCTGAAAGAAGACGACTCTGCTCTACACATTTTGTGGTTTCAGTGGGTGTAGTCAGATCCCTGCCTTGTGTATATTAAACATAAAAAACTATAATTGATCATAATTCTGCAGAAATGTTCTTCTTGGCCACTTCTTATAGAATTGCATTGCTAGGAAATGAAAGAGATGGTAATTAACATATGGGGCACAAGCAGCCAAATAGTGCCTGTTGCTCTTTTCTTAAGCATATTAGCAGCACTCCGTATAGCTGTAGTTTGTGTTCTTCCAGGGAATTTGGCTATGCTTTTCTGTTCCTCAGATTTAGAAAAATTAAGCTGAGCTTCAAAAGTAGAAAGCTACTACTCGGTTCATGTATGCATCAACCTTTTAATGTTTACTTCCTAGAAAAATCATGGGAAATCTCTGTGTAATACTGCAAATCTTCAGGTATTGTGTTTCGAAATGTTTCTATATTATGTTTTAGCCAATGGTTTATTTTTCTCATAGTATTGTATTGTTAATTAATATTTTGTTATCACAAAACGAAGGATTGGTTCTTTTGCTGATGCAATACATCAGCCTGTGTAGTAATATTGCCCTGATACTATTTTCACTTGGAGATGTGAATTATGTGGAAAATTGTAAAAAAGATAATATATTAAACCCCACAATTCTTGCTAATTCAACATCAGCTAAGTGGCAGATAGGAATGATTTTTATCTGTAGTAGCATGAAATATTTTATCTGTGCCTTACAGATACTTTCACGGAGTCAAATCTGGCTGTCTTGCTGATATGCGGAATTTCTGATACAAGTTGTGCAACAGCTCTGTGTGGAGTAGTGACAGCTACCTGCAGCCTCGGTGCCAAATCCAGTACTTTGTGTCTAAAAGCACCAGCTGAAACGCAAAAAAAACACGCTAAAATATTATCACTTGTGGACAGGGGGTCGGGCAAGTCAGAGTTAATACTTTAAATACTCTTGTCTTGGAGATGCGTGTTACTATTAGCACAGGAGATCAACTTTGGTGAATCCTCCCACACAGTTGATTTGTGAGACCCTTAATCTGCCAAAGAGGCAGGTCAAGCCAGCCTGCGAGCGGCTGAGCCTGTGCAGGTCCCCTTGCAGTTGCTTGTGCTGTTTATGCTTCAGGCGGGCCCTGGAAAACACTGCGGGTTAAAAGGTAACATCAGCCTGCCCTCAGAATTGGATCCTTGCAGTAAACTGAGATGTCGCGCTTTATGTTCGCTAATGTACGGCGCGCTCGCGCTCTAATAGGAGTCAGACAGGGTGCAGGGTTTTGTTGTAATTTTTTAAAAAAGAGATAGTCATTGAAATTGATTTTGTACGTTATCAGTGGAGCATTAAAATGATAGATTGTAGTCTTCAGATCTTTTACTACTTTAATTTATCAAGTGTGCTTGTGGATTGTGTACAGAATGTGAAGCGTTAATATC